AAGTGCTCATCAAATTTTAGGTAATTCATAAGCAGTCATGTTTTTTTCTCTGACTTCTGCTTTCTATCAGTATTGTTTAACTGTTTCATGTTTTCTTCTCCTGTATTGTCTATTGCTATGTAACTAATTACTTCAAAATGTAATGGCTTATATCTACACTTTTCTCTCAGTTTCTAGGGGTCAGGATGTAGGCATAGATTAACTAGATGCCTCTGGCCAGGGTCTCTCACAGACAGCAACCTCAGCTGTAATCATCTCAAACCACAACTGGAGAAAGATAATCTTCCAGGCTGTGTGCAGGCTGTTAGCCTGAGGAATGCAGGCTGTTAGCCTGAGGGCTTCAGTCTGTTGCTGAGAGGAATCTTCAGAGGCTGTCCACAGTTCATTGCCATCTGGACCTCCCCACATGGTAGCTTGATTCATCAGTGTGTGAGCTGAGATGGCAACAGAGGGTATACTCAAAAGATAGAAGTCGCAATCATTTAAAACCTAACTACAGAAGTGACATCACAACACTGTGTATGGATTCCATTAATTAGAAGTGAGTCAAGTAGGACCAGCTCACATTCAAGGTTGAATTCAAAAATGTGAATACCAGGGGGTGGGTATCACTGGGGCCATGTCAGAAGCTGCCTACCATACATTCATTTTCAAATCCATTATTATTCAACAAATAGTTGTTGAACACTTAATATATGCCAGGCATTAATCTAGTCACTTCATCAGTGCATAAAACAGGCAAAATTTACTGCTGTTAGCAAGGATAGTTAATTACATGCATATATATTTCAAGGTGACAAATGCTATGAAAATATGGCAGGGGAAAAGTACTGGGAGAGTTGGGGGTTACAGTTGTGAGTCAGGAAAAGCTATAGCTAGGGAACAGTTAAACAAAAGCTCGAAGGAGGTGAAATTGGCTACATGACTATCTGGAGGAAGAGGAACCAATGGAAAGACTCCAAGGCTGGAGCACACGAGCATCTTCAAGGAAGATCAAGAAAGCCAGTGACACTGAAATCCAGTGAGCAAAGGAGAGTGTAATAGGAGCTGAGGAAGTTGAGAAGGAAGGTCCAAAACCTGCACATCTGGGAGATTATTGTAAGAATTTTAACTTTTTCTTGAAATGAAATGGATGGTATTGAAAGGTTCTGAGCAGAGGAATCACATGATTTTATATGTTTTTGTTGTTTTATAAACTTAAAAAAATTAAAATAACATATACATTCAGAAAGCACACAAAGCACAAGTGTATAGCTCAGTAAATATTTACAAAGTCAACAACCCATCAACTAGCACCATATGAGGAAGTAGAACATCACTAGGACTTGAGAAGCTCTTCATAGGGCCCTTCCCAGTCACACATCCTCTCTTCTACAAAAGTAACATATCTTGACTTCAATTGCCACATTTGTCATAGTTTCAAACTTCATATATATATATATATATATATATATATATATATAAACAACTTTATATGAATGGAATCAAACATGTTCTCCTTTGTGTCTGGCTTTTGCTAAACATCATCTATGTTGAGTTTTGATTGTTTATTTTCATTGTTACATATTATTCCACTGTATGAATAAACTATAGTATTTTTTAAAGAATATGTTTTTATTGATTTTTAGAGAATGGAAGAGAAATAGAAACAGCGATGAGAGAAATAGAAATATTGATGAGGTAAACATCGATTGGCTGCCTCCTGCATGCTCCCCACTGGGATGGAGCCCACAACCCAGGCATGGGCCCTAACTAGAAATCGAACCCTCGAGCTCTTGGTGCATGGGTCAATGCTCAACCACTGAGCCACACTGGCTGGGCTATACTACAATTTTATTCATGCTTTTGTTGATGGACTTCGAAGTTTTCCCAGTTTGCACCATGCTATGAACTTTTGTACGTCTTTCAGTATATATTTCTTTCACTGGCTAATAGGGTAGGTGTAAACTCACTAACAAAAATGCTGAACCACTTTCCAAAGTGTTGAAATTCCCAATGGTGCCTGATGTTTAACAGGATCACTCTGGCTGCTGCATTGTGAAGTGGATGCACAAGGGGAAGGGTGAAAGCAGGAACACCAATCAAGAGGTTTTGCAGTAATACATGTGTGGTAAGATGCGGCTCAGCATATAGGAGTGTTGGAGATGGTATTAAGTCATTGAATTCTGGTTATATTTGAAAGGTAAAGTCAACAGGAATGTCCTAACAGGTTGGATATAAAGAACAGAAAATGAGAGGAGATAAGGATGTGCCTGAGGTATTTGGCCTAATCAACTTTATGGATAGGACTGTCATCGACTGAGATTAAAAAAAAAAAAAAATGGGCCGCCTGTTTGAGAGGAAGGACCATGAAATTCCTCATAGACATGTTAAGTTTGAGATGTCTAGTCGGCATCCAAATGAATATATCAGAGAGGCAGCTGAAGTTTAAGAGTGAGGTCTGAGTCATTGATATAAATTTTGGAGTTGTTGACAAATAATGGCATATTCATCAAGGTCCAATTAGGAAAGAGGAACCACACAGTAATTGAACAGGAAAAATTTATATTCAGAATTATTAACTACAACAAGGAATTGGAGCAATGGAGCATGGGCTAGTAAGAAGAGAACAGGAAGGAATATAATAGCAGATCTGAAGAAGTCACTACCTACAGCAGAGAGACAGGGCCCAGAAAGTCTCCTTTCCATCCATCCAGCTGGGATCTAAACCTTATTGGAGGGGTATGACCATGGCCCACTGGTGTCAGGGAGTCCCTGTGGTGCTGTACCACTGGAACTTGTTGGAAATCCCTCTTTAGGAGTTGGGAAAGGGGAGGTGTCTCAGGAGAGTCTCTCCATGACAAACCTACTGAGGGTGGTAGGAGAGAGTGGGTGGGGTGCTGCTGGCCACCAAGTACTGGAAGAGTCAGTCCTGAAAAAGTCACCTCCTGAAGATGGCAGAGTGAAACTAGGAGACCAAAGTCTCTCCATCGCCCTCTACTGACAAAAATTAACATCATGCCAGAGTCAAAAGAAAAATATTTTAAGGGCTCAACTCCATTTTTCCACAGTGGGCAATGAATAATAAATTTGTAGTAGAGATACAAAAATTAATAACTGATACAGATGGCATACAAAACTACAAGACAGAATAACATCATCCAGGGAATAAGTATAGACACAGAAGAGAAGAACAAAGTCTTTAACTTGCCCTGGCTAGGTTTGGCTCAGCAGTTGGAGCGTCAGCCTGGGGACCAGAGAGTCCCGGGTTTGGTTCCCATTAGGGGCACGTAAGTCAGGTAGGAGTAGAAGAATGAGCAAAGTTAGAATTAAAGTGAGGGCAGTTAGCATGGTACTGGGTTTTCCTACAGCTATGTTTAGTTGCACTGTTGTAGCATGGAGATGGAGACTTGGGTTTCTCCAGAGTTCTCATTTTACCAAGCAGATATGATGAGATGACAGGGAGATGTGGGAGTTAAGAAAGTAGAAAAGCTCCACTCTGGCTGGTTTGGCTTAGCGGTTAGAGCATCGGCCTGTGGTCCAGAGAGACCGGGTTGTTCCCACTAAGGGCATGTACCTGGGTTGCAGTTTGTCCCTGGCCCTGCTTGGGTCGTGCGGGAAGAAGCCATTCGATGTGTCCCTTTCACGTCGATGTTTCTCTCTCTCCCTTCCACTCTATTTGAACAAAAAATGGGAAAATGTCCTCGGGTGAGGATTAAAAAAAAAGAAAGAACGAACATATGAAAGTTCTTGATAATGATTGACCATGGAGTTTAAGTTACCTTACAAGGGAGGAAGGAGAAGTCATCAAGGGAGTAAGGTAGTAAGATGTGGGTTGGAGTCTACTGGTAGGGTTACAGGAGTTTCGGTTTGGGCGCATTAGAGGGGGTAACCTGGAAAGAGAGGAGGTGGCAGTCAGAGTGGGATGCTTCAGGGGTTGCAGACCTTAGACCTGCCAAGTTCTAGGGTATGATCACAGGGGCAGTGAGGCTGAGCCAAGGTAGAAGACAAGAGTGGGATATGTGGAGCCAGGCACACCTTAGAATTATCTACCTGTATACTGAAATTTCCAAGAAGTAAAAGGGGTAGTGTTAGTTACAAAATATAAGCTCTTCACAGATGAGGCAAGTGTGTGTCCTGGAGGGTAGCCTCCCTAGCACAGCAGAGTGTGTAGTGATGTAGAGTGAATACCTGGGGGATACTGACTGAGAAAAAGAGCTTGCTATAAAGGGCATAAAGTATAGGGGGTCTCAATTACTACAGTGCGCCTAGTTCAGTGAGGCAGACCCGAGCCCTAGGGTGTACTGGTAGGATACTGAAAAGAACATCTCTAGGGCAAGAAGGAGATGCACAAGGGCATCCAGCTCACCCGAAATGGGGGTTAGGTGAACCCCAAGGCAGTCCCTCAGGTGGGAATGGGCAAACCTGTACTAGAAGAAAACTGCAAGAGGCTGCACTCCCCCCAAAAAAGCCCCTTTCCCAGGAACAGAGACAGGCCGTGGCATTTCATGCTGGGTCAGTGTGTTGGTCCTGGCAAAAGAGGGAATTCTAGCACGAATGGAGCCCGAGAAATGTCCAGCTCTGCCTTCTGTAAGGCTCAGCAAGCGGACCAGCCACAGCGACTCGCCACCGAGTGATATTCCATTAGACCAGTCGGGGGACAACGCGGTGACTCAAGGGTGACCAGAACTAATTGTTACTTCCGGCTTTAGTCCCGCACCAACGAACAGGTGTCCGGCCGCACTGTTGCCACGGCCTCCGGGATCAATCGAGCGCCCGCGGCGCACGCTGTTCGGAGTCCCAGGTCAGTGGTACCAGACCGGTACCTGCTGTGGGCGGCGGGGCGCGGGGCGGCTTCAGGGAGAACAACCGCGCAGGCGTCGCTTGCGCCCTTTATTAACCAATCACAAGTCTACCTTGCAGCTCTCCCGGAGAGTCTTCCCTCCGCCGGTCTCTTTCTTCTGTCCCCGCCTTGTTTCCCGCCGGCGAGTAGAGCAGGCGCGTAAGTCGCCTTTCCGGTTCCGGAGCTGTCCATGCGGGCCCATAAGAGTAGCGGCGGCGAGCCCTATAGGTAACGGCTGCGGGCTGCGGGCTGCGGGCTGCGGGCTGCGGGCTGCGGGCTGCGGGCTGCGGGCTGGGGGCGGCGGCGGCGGCGGCGGCGGCGGCGGCGGGTCTCCAGAGTTGGGCTCTGGGAACATCGCGAGGCGAGCGCGTGGTCAGGTGTTCCTTCGGTCTCTGGAGAAGTCAGCTCCCGAGGAGTGCTCAGGTGCTGGTCAGACATATTTCGTACCTGCGAGGAAAGTCTTCCCAAGTCGTTGGGAGGGTGGCTAGTGAATTCCTGTTGAGAGCCTAGGCAGGGAGTTTCGTTGCGGGGTGATCCTAGCTGGTGACTTAGACCTGAGCCAGATCTGTTAATTCCAAAATGTACTTCCTTTCCCTCCACCTACCCCGACCCAGAAAGGAGAAGGAATCAAGTGCGTACAAGTTTGAAACCAAAATATAGTAGAGAGGAAAATAATGACCTGAAATCACACAGCTGCTTAGTTTCAAAGTGCTCCTGGAACCCAGCTCTTTTCTAACTCTCGAGTAATATTTCTTGACATTATGCTGGTATATATGGAGTTTCTATTTCCACTATCTCCTAGCACAGTGCCTAGCACATTATAGGCAGACACATATATTTATTGAACTCAAGTTAATTCAGTACCTTAGTTGGATGACTTGATTGCCTGTTACATTTTGGTTGTTGTTGTTAACCATGTGCTGATATTGTTTGCAGCCTGATTTCCTTTAAAAACTTAATCCAGTGGTTCCCAGTTTATGGGTCATGAATTCCTGGGACGCTCAGGAATCGTAAGGTTTTCTGCAAGTCTATGTGGTCTCCAGGCATCATCCACAACCAATTAATTGTATCTCACAGGTAGATAGGACTGTTTTTTAAGTGTATATAGGTGTTTATTATAATTTAAAATTTTTAAAGAATCAAACTAAAAGTGATACTGCTATCATATTGGAAGGTTATTAAAATGTTTTAATTTTTAAAATAAAATATCTTAAAAATAGCTTATGTTTGAAATCCATTTCATTAGCCCAATTGATATCTAGGGCTGAGCAGTTCGATATGGTAACTACTAGTCATATGTGACTATTTAAATTTAGAATTGAATTAATTAAAATAAAACTTTAGTTTCTCAGTTTCACTTGGTACATTTTAAGTTCTGAGTAGCCACATGTGACTAGTGGCTACTTTGTTAAAAAGTATAGCTATAGAATTTTCCATCATTGCAGAAATGGACAATGCTGATGTAGAAGCTTAAGATGAATACATAGTAACCTAAGCAGAGAAAACAAACTAATTAATAGCAGAGCAGTGAAATTGGGCATAATATTAACCAGTTCCTACCCTTGTTGAGTGAATAAATACATATTTCTTTTTAAAGAAATAAATGAAATTTATTGTTTTTCCTTGGATGTTTTCAAGATTGTAAAATACTTCCCCCACCCCCACCTCATTCAGTGTAGGTTAGAGTTACTTGTGAATTGGTAAAAAGCCACTATGGAGACCAATGACCAGAAGAAACACAGAAAGAAAAACAGTGGGCCCAAAGCTGAGAAGAAAAAGAAACGACATCTGCAAGATCTCCAACTTGGAAATGAGGAAGATGCCCAGAAAAGAAACCCCAAAGCTTTTGCAGTCCAATCTGCTGTGCGGATGGCTCGATCCTTTCACAGGTATGTTTAGCTGGATTCTAGTGGTTCTTTCATTTGTTTCTTTTTACACAATAGAAGTCTCTTCAGATGATGTTTGGATTCATAAGCCTGTTTAGCTCTGAAGGAAATGGAGATGTGTGCCATATTTCTTTTACTAAAACATAAGAGGTCTTTCCTGTGGAAGCTGCGTTGTCTCTAGCATTCATATACTGATTGGCTTTTTTTCCCCCCAAGAAAAAGCTTGAGTTTTTCTTGATAGAATTTGTTTGTAAACTTTAAACAATTTCTATGGTAGTAGATGTGCTTGTGTTTTTTTGTTTTGTTTTGTTTTTTCCTGGATGTGTTTTATATAATTGTAATATGTAATATTAAATATCTTTATTTAATGAATCCTTATTATATACCAAGCAGTGTAGTGTAAACACTATTGAATTAAATTCTCCCAGTAGGTCCAGCCAGTGTGGTTCTGTGGTTGAGTGATGACCTGTGCACCAAGAGGTAGCCTGTTTGATTCCCAGTCGGGGCACGTGCCTGGGATGCTAGCTCAGTACCCAGTAGGGGTGTGTAGGAGACAACCAATCAATGTTTCTGTCTTTCTCTCCCTCTCCCTTCTCTAAAAATCAATAAAAACATATTAAAAAATTCTCCCAGCAGGAGACCCAAATTTTACTCCATAGTCTCTGCTCTTATTCATTATAATACACTGCCCCCATGTTTGCCTTTTTCCTTTTTAAACTACTGTAATCAACTAATAAAGCAATCATATTTAAGGTTTGTATAATCTTCAACATTCTGCACTATTGAAGTCAACCTGTTATATATTTACTGAAGTGGTTATTTGGATTGGAGCCAGAAGTTAACAAGTTAATGCTATCTATATGTTGTCTGTTGTGCTCTCTTTAAAATCTTTACTTATAAGGATAATGCCTTTTATGTTTTGAAAATTAATTTATTTGTTTTTAACAAATAGGACTCAGGATTTGAAGACAAAAAAGCATCATATTCCAGTGGTTGATCGAACTCCACTAGAGCCTCCCCCAATAGTGGTGGTGGTGATGGGGCCTCCAAAAGTTGGAAAGAGCACTTTGATTCAATGCCTCATTCGGAACTTCACCAGGCAGAAGCTAACGGAGATCAGAGGCCCTGTAACAATTGTATCAGGTGGGCAGGTGCTACCCTCAACTGACATGGCAGGTGTTGTCATCTGAGAAGCATACATGCCTTTGTTGAACATTTTTTGGGGGGACTGATAAATGCTAAAATAATATTACCACTTCATATTACCTTCCTTGTAGTTTTACTAAGTTGGCTGTAGCTTCAGAAAAAGATAGATTCCTAGGAATAATCATGATATAGATATATATCTTATTCTGACTGTAGTATGGATTTGCTAGGTATGTTCCTCTGAAAGGCTTCGCAGGCCTGGGCAGGTTGGCTTGGTCATGGTGAACACCTTCATGGAACAGATAGCAAATACTTTCCATTCTTGTGGAAATAAGGGAGTTTTTCTCTTTATTCTGTGAGAATTTATCTAAATTTTCTAAATTTGAGGGAAGATGAAACAAATACCCAAAATGACAATGGTAGAATCTGAACTCTCTCATTATAGCAATAATATGCAGTTGACCCTTGAACTGCACAGGTCCACTTACATCTGAATTTTTTTTGATAAATATACAGTCGGCTCTTTGTATCCCTAGGTTTCACATCTGCAGATTCAACCAACTATGGATCAAAGAGTATTTTTCATCCTTGGTTGGGAGTCTGCATACATGGAGTCCAACTCTATGCATTGTTATGCACCATGTTACATAAGGGAATTGAGCCCCTGCGTATTTTGATATCCATGGGGGTCCTGCAACCAATCCCTGTGGATACTAAGGGATGACAAGTTTTTGGCGAGTCAAAAATTATATGCAGTGTCCCACTGCACAGGGGTTGGCATCCCTAATCCCCTTATTTTCATTGTTCAAGGGTCAACTGCAGTAGGACTGAGGCTTTCCTTTGTCTGGAAAGCATTTCTATTTGTTTTGATGATTACTTTAAACTTAGCTTAGAAATAATGATTTTTCCATGAACATTCTGTTACATTAGGTTTGAGGATGTTTTTAGCTATAGTGGAAATACAGGAAGCTTTGATAGAGATAGAAGCGTTGGCCCACTGCTGAACAGCAGGACGAGGGTCATCATGAAGCCTACTTGTCTGCCCATTCTAGTTGGAATTTTACCTGTTTGAGCACTTTATTGACATGACTAGGCTTCCGATGATATTTTAAAATTAGAGAACAGCAAGAAAACCTAGATGGGATGTATTTGTTTTATCAGGTTTTTCCTATAAAAATAAACTTGTAGCATACTCCTATAAGTGTATATGGTGCTTTACTGGATCCAGTTAAAATGTTAGAGTGAATGGATATATTTTTCCAAGATTTTTTAAAAAGTACAATTCTCATCTTTTCATTTATAGGTAAAAAACGTAGACTCACCATTATTGAATGTGGGTGTGACATTAACATGATGATTGACCTGGCTAAAGTAGCAGATTTGGTAAGTTAGTGTGGGCATTGTGGGTTTCTGATGGGGACTTATAGCAGTATGGTAGGTTATTTATCCCATGTTGAAGGGAAGAAAGGTTTATAATTATTAAAGAAGTGGTGAGTATTATCAGGGATGCAATAGATGTGTTTGAATTGATAATGATGGTCATAATAATTATTGTTATAATAAAAATAGAATGTTCACAATGAAATGTATTCTAAAATCTAAAAGCAAATCACAGGACAGAGAAAACCTTTAGTGAACATAGTTAATAAAAGCATATATATATATGCATGCTAACAGCTTTCTACAAATTTAGCTCATCTAACCCCCCCAGTATGCCTTAGAAGTAAATAGGTATTATCTGCAGTTTACATATGATGAAATCGAGGCTCCCAGAAGTTAGAGAATTTGTCAGAGGGTGGGAACTCTGTTCTTGGATAGTGTCAAAACCTCCATTCTAAGTTTATGATACAGTAAATACATGGATTTATTGAGAAGTTGGCAGAATTTAAAATAAAAAATCTGTGCAGTACTAAGCATTTGGAAATTGTCCAGCCTCGACTACATTTACAGAAATGGTACAGTTTGTTAATTATTTTTTAAACTAGCAAAAATAAAGCCAAAAAGAAAAAAATTAAACCATATTGATTAGAAAGTGTAGAGTAACAGATACCTTGGTGTGTTTTTTTGTTTGTTTGTTTTTTTGATTCAACACTTTCTGGATAGCTTTTTAGTGAGAGAGCTACAGATTTTATTCTTTGGCCTAGGAAATCTTCTAAAATATGAATAAATAGTAATTTAATATAGGTGTTATGGCTATGCCATTTGAATATCAAAAAGCTAATACTATTCAAATTTTTAACATGTAATGCTACCATTAATAAAAATGTGTTATTATCAACACAAAATAGTATAAACTTACTAAATCTTGTACATTTGAAATGATTGAAACTTTATCGTATTAGTTTCTCTTCTATGTAAAATATATCAAATCCTAATTTTAAAAGCATACACATTTAAAATGATGCCTTTCATATACACATGCATTTGGTAAAATGTTCAAACTGTACTACAGGGTACAAACAATGCATGATTTCTCTTTCCTTGCTCTGACCCCTAATTTCTCAGTTCCCCTCAAGGCAGAATCCTTCGAGATACAGCTATAATATACAAGTAACTCTTTTAAAGCACACAGTTTATTATACTCTGTGCTTTACTTTTTTCACTTACTGTTTCTTGGAGGTATATAAGTACTGTAGCTCAACCTTACCAAGTATTCTTTGGGTGTACCATAATTTATTTAACCTGGCTTATGTTGATTGCTCTGCTCTGGGTTGTTATAAATTCTTCTAAGTCACAGCACAGGCATACATAATACATGGATTTGTGTTTGCATGCACCTGTGTGCATTGGAGGGGTAGTACAAGTTTCATTTATCTTTAGTTGACAAAGATTGTAGCTAAGGGACTGTTTGCCACCTATTCTGATCCCACAACTAATTGCTTGTCTCTTGGCACTCCACGTTGTCAAATGGGGTGTGGAGATACCCACAGCAAGCCCGCTCACCTTCAGCCTATTCCAGTGTTGCCATCTTGGCCTGTGCTGTGCAGCAGCAGCTGTACATTCTCACAGTGCTCAGTGTCCACCTTTGTATAGTTTGTGGTTCAGGATTATTGAATGTTCCATAATTTAATCAAAGATAAGTTTTTCTGACTTTTTAAAATTATTTTAAATTAGATATAAAAAGATGGAAGACAGAGATGTTATATCTTAAAACTAGAAGTCTCCAGGAATCAATTCTGAAATTAAATGAAGGATTATAAATTTTAAAAATTGGTCCTATTTATATTTTCTTACAGATTACCATTTATAACTTTACTATCTTTTTATTCTAAACTGGTAGCTTTTTTTTTTTTTTTCCTGAACAGTTGCATGTACAAATTAATTTATAAGATAGAGCCTTTATACTACATAGTTCCCAGCAAAAACTTGTTTTCCATATGAGAAGATTAAAACAAAAATATTTGATTTTCTCTACATTTTTTTATATTTTTCATTTATTACCAGTTTCTCCCATTTTTTTTATGTCAGATCTGTTATTTGGTTTCCTTGTTACAGACCTGTTATTTGGCTTAAAAACACCTTGCCAAACACTTTATTTCTTAAAGAACATTTCAGGTAAGGCCTAAATTAGACCCAGCATTTTCTGAGTTACTGTATTTCTCATATATTGAGATTCTTGAAATGGAATTTTATATCTTGGTGGATATTGTTTCATGTTTACCGTTTAGAGCAAGTCAAAGGGTTGTTTTTTTTTTTCTCTCTTATCATGGTTATCCCTAACTAATCATTTTATTTAGTCTAGAGCAGAAATTAGCCCTTTTTTTTTTTTTTTTTTGTAAAGTGCCAGATAGTAAATCTTTTGAGCTTTCTGGGTCATAGTTTCTGTTGCAACTAAATGATGCATTTGTAACTTAAAGGCAGGTGTAGATCATATGTGAGCGAATTAACATGACCATGTTCAAGTAAAAGTTTAGTTGTGAAGTAGGTGATGGGTCAGATTTGGCCCACAAGCCATAATTTGTTGATGGTATGTTTTGAGTAGTTTTCTTGAGAAATCGTGTCTTCTGTTTTTAGGTTCTGATGCTTATAGATGCCAGCTTCGGGTTTGAAATGGAAACTTTTGAGTTTCTAAACATCTGTCAAGTACATGGCTTTCCTAAAATTATGGGCGTTCTCACTCATCTAGATTCCTTCAAGTATAATAAGCAACTGAAGAAGGCAAAGAAGCGATTAAAGCACAGGTTCTGGACAGAAGTCTACCCGGTAGGAAGAGAATTAGTTATTGAATACTAGCACTGTAATCCTTTAAAAATAGACTGGATGAGTAGGAGAGATTAACCGGCATCTCTAGAGGATCCACCTCCTGAGTTTTTTTTATATCTTGATAATCCCTGGCATATTTCCCTGAAATAGTCTTTATTCTGGACATCTTGATGTGTCTCCTGTGTCTCAATCCACCAGCACCAGGCAGTGTCTGACTCTAAGTGTTTTAGATTTGTGACTTAATAGAGTTTGTTCTAAGTTTCTCGTAGTTATAGGACCAAGAACTACAGTGTACACTTACCACCACTCCTCCCTGCCCTTTACACTGATGTGGCCTGTTGGTCACAGGATATTCTCTGTGCCCAGGAGCCTCACTGCAGTACACCAGACAGATGTCACTGCTTGACTGCAGAGCAGTCTTGAAATTAAATATGTTTACAGTTCTGCCCATACACAACCCTAATAAGATGATTCCTGAAAGAAGCCAGAGAGGGTCTGGAAGCATTGGCATAGTGGTTTGCCAAAAGTCTCCCTTTCTTAGGATTGCTTTTTATTTAGAGGCCTTTATTTTAGTGCAGTACTGACAAGAATTTAGTTGATATTAAATTTCTTTTTTTAATGTTTAGGGTGCCAAGCTGTTCTACCTTTCTGGAATGGTACATGGAGAATATCAAAACCAAGAAATTCACAATCTGGGACGTTTTATTACAGTTATGAAGTTTAGACCTCTTACATGGCAAACCTCTCACCCTTATGTCTTGGCAGACAGGTAAAAAGTGAATACATTTTTTTTTTTTGCTCAGATATTTCAAAGCTAAGGAAAAAGAATAATAATAGACCTGTTTTGTGCTTATTTTTGAATAGTGGGGGGAGAAATGTAGTTGATGGAAAAATCTACTTTTTTTGTATTATTACTTAAAAATGCTGTGACTTTGGGAATAAAGTGTGAAATGTTTAGAAAAATGTGAAGATTTTGAAGCATTTAAGGCTATAGGATGTGGCTTCATCCTGCTTTTCCAACCTTAATTTGGACAGTGGTGCTCCAGTCACTCAGATGTATCCTGTGTTCTCCTTCCTTTCTGCTTTTTTTTTTTCAGATTGTTTTCTCAGCCTGGAATACCCTTTTTCCACCTACCAGAACCCAAGCCACACTAAAAAAAAAAAAAAAAAACCAGATCAGTGCTTAATCTTCTTCCATCAAGGGTTTTTCTGGATACATTGTCTTTTCTTCCCTGATGGTAGAGGCATGCATTTCCCACTTCTGGAGTCGTACTTGTGGAATGCATATTACACAGATCCTAAGAGAAGTGCAGTCATTTGTTTGCTTTTGTCCTCTGGTAGATGGTGAATTGTGTTTCCTAATTTCTGTATTTTCTATAATTTTCTACATGTGTTCAGTGAACTAGTGAATGTGATGAATTATTGACACATGAAAGGAGGTATAAGACCTTTGACATTCATTTCTGCCATATGATTGGGTTTTATTTTTCTAGGATGGAAGATTTGACAAACCCAGAAGATATCCGAACAAATATAAAATGTGACCGAAAAGTGTCTCTTTATGGTTATTTAAGAGGAGCACATTTGAAAAATAAAAGCCAAATTCACATGCCAGGTATTCTTTTGTTGTAAACTGTGCTATATTTGTAGAATGTTTGAGATGAATTCATTTTCTCATGGAAACTGAAAAATGGCCAAACAAAATAGAGCCACCTTGCTGGAGGTTTTAAGAGTAACACAGCTCTTCTTTGGCCAGCAAATATTGAGTTGACCAAGTTCTGTCCCCTCCACTCTGATGGTGTTGTTTAGCTAGAGAAACAGTGCCAGTGTCAAGTGATCCCCTTGCTGTGGTTGAAGCCTTCCAACTGTGGGGCATTTGTACTGACTGTTGATAGATACGTCAGCTGAAGCCATTTTTCTCTCTCTTACAGGCATGGGAGATTTTGCTGTGAGTGACATCAGTTTCCTACCAGACCCCTGTGCCCTTCCTGAACAACAAAAGAAACGCTGTTTAAATGAAAAGGAAAAGTTGGTTTATGCACCTCTCTCTGGAGTTGGTGGTGTGCTGTATGACAAAGATGCTGTCTATGTCGACCTTGGTGGCAGCCATGGCTTCCAGGAATTGGTGAGAGGGCAGTCACAGGCAGTAATATAGTCAGCTTTTATTTACTGAAGCTTTTTAATTTTTATTCATATTTATCATAATGCCTATTGTAAATATGCAGAATATTTAACTCCACCAAGCAGAAAGTAAAAGTCATGTCCTATGTACTTCCCTGCTACAAAATTCACAAGGGATCTTACATCTCCCAACATGAGAATTGTAAGCAGTTTGTGCCTGTACTTCTATCTCTCTTTATATAAAATCAGTGTGTTTTCTAGCTCTTATTTGGTCATTTAGGTTATTATATATTGTATGTAAATACTATAATGTATCTGTGTGCATGTGTGAGGTAGAGAAGTAATGTTTGTTATATTGGATCCAACTATAAATGCTTTTACAAGTTTTGGAGGTACCTAAGAATAAGTGATTCTGTTGTTCCCTTCCAGTTTTTGTAGAGCTGCTTCTTTCTATATACAGTTGTGTAGTATTTCATTGCGTGGATAAACCACATTTACTGAAGCAATCTTTGGAGTGCTTGCTGATGGACTCGCTGCATGTTTCCTGGTTTCAATAGTGATGCAGTGAGACCTTGTACATGTAGCTTTGGTCACTGGGAGAGATCTTTCTATGCAGTAAATTCCTTAAAGTGAAAATTTTGGATCAAAGGTAGCAGTTTTTTTTTTGATGGACTTGAAGTTTTTATTTCTTTTACTGTTCTGAAATTGGATTTTAATTGGGCTAAAATGAGCACATTCTGTAGCACCAGCATCCAGGGTTTTTCCAGCTAAGTATTTAGGTTATGAGGGTGTGTACTCCATGAACTCTGAAACAGTTTCATGAACACAGAATTCAGTTTTAGGTTTTGGTGTAAGAATTTTTTTTACTTTTTGAGGCAGTAAAGAGTTTTCAGGAACTATGTTTAGGGTAGTTTTTAGAAAGTAATTGAAACCAGTGTGTCTCTTCAGAATTTTTGTGCATTCCTCACTTTCCATTTCTTGGTTGCCTTGACAGGACGAGACTAGACCCACCCATGAACTGGTCCAGAGTCTCATTTCCACCCACTCCACTATTGATGCCAAGATGGCTTCAAGTAGAGTGACACTTTTCTCTGATTCCAAACCACTAGGGTCAGAGGATATAGATAATCAAGGGTGAGTTTGCTATTTTTCTATTTATAATTTTAAAAAATTATACTACAGAAGATTATGTTACCCATAACTGCCATCATAACACGTTTTGGTGAGATTCATTCCAGGTTGTGTTGTTTTGCTTTGCTTTGTATGTGCATGTTTCTGAGTGTTCTTCACTTAGGTGAAATTACATGACATTTCTTTCTTGTTTTTACATGACATTTCTTGAAAGAATGTGGAGAATTCTGTTTTTAACAAACCCAGAATATTCCTCAACTGTCACGAAACCTTTTCCATAGATTGCTTTTTAGGAGACCTGAGGCCACTTGGCTTTCTTTTAGTGGTCCAAATAGTGGAACAAGCAGTCAGGGAGCTTGTTCATGTGGCTGTCCAGAGGCCACGTATCTTGTTTCTGGACTGCAGGCCGACACTGTAACCGATGAGCCAAACCGGCCAGGGCCACGTATTTTGTCTCTAAAAGTTTTAGTTATGGTGAGTTGTAGTATTGCCTGTGGGTCGATTTTCACTAACATGGCTTATATGAATTATTTTCAGTTTGAGTTGGGAATTTGTATACCATCTACATAGTGGGTGTTTTGATTTTATTGTAGTGATTTATGATCCCCAATAAAAATCATTCTGAAAATGATTGATATTATCTAGTTTATAACTTACTATAAATATATACAAATGAAGAAAGATCACCTGCTGCCCTTTAACTAGTAAATGGTATAGCATGATAGTTGAGTGCAATAGGCCTACTGTTTGGGGGAAATATCTAAGTATCAGTTTCATAATATCATAGGAGTTGTGATGATTAAATATAATAGTGTACATAAACTATTTAGCATGGTGCAGATGACAAGTATTAACTAAAAGATCCCTATTGATCATAAAAATCAATATTTTCATTTTTAAGTATTCTTCTGGTCATCTTTATCTACATGGATACTCTTTTAACATGGTTACAGTCATAATTCATAAAAAATGTCCTTGTCTATATTGTATTTCTTTTTTCTGTATAGTCTGTTTCTATAGTCACGGTTTTGTTATTATTGGTATATTCTGACCTGTCCATTCTCTTTTAGTACAATTTTTATTTTTTATTAATTTTTGTTACAGATAATTCTCCCCCCCCACCACCATACTGACTCCCTCCTCCCTATCCCCTCCCACCCTGTCCCCAGTTTTGTTGTCTGTGTCCATCGGTTATGCATACATGCATATAAGTTCTGTGATTTATCCCTTCCCCCACACCCCTTCTGAGGAATATCAGTCTGTACCCTACGTCTGTCTCTGGGTCTCTTTTGTTCATCAGTTTGTTTAGTTCATTACATTCCAGAAATAAGTGAGATCATGTGATATTTGTCTTTCTATGCTTGGCTTATTTCGCTTAGGATAATACTGTCCAGGTCCCTCCATGTCATCGCAAAGGATGAGATCTTTCTTTCTTACAGTTGCATAGTACTCCATAGGGTATATGTACCAAAGCTTTTTTATACACTCGTCTACTGATGGGCACTTGGACTGTTTCCAGATCTTAGCTATTGTAAATAGTGCTGCTATGAACATAGGGGTACATATATTCTTTCTGATTGGTGTTTCAGGCTTCCTAGGATATATTCCCAGAAGTGGAATCCCTGGGTCAAATGTCAGTTCAATTTTTAATTTTTTGAGGTAACACAATATTGTTTTCCGTAGTGGCTGCACCAGTCTGCATTCCTACCAGCAGTGTACTAGGGTCCCCTTTACTCCACACCCTCGCCAACTCTTGTTGTTTGATGATTTGTTGATGGCGGCGATTCTGACAGATGTGAAGTGGTACCTCGTTGTTTTAATTTGCATCTCTCTGATTAGTGACATTGAGCATTTTTTCATATGTCTCTTAGCCATTTGTATGTCCAGTTTGGAGAGGTGTCTCTTTAGGTCCTTTGTCCATTTCTTAATTGGGTTCCTTGTCTTCCTTTTGTTGAGTTGTGTGAGTACTCTATTTTTGAAATTAACCCTTTATCTGATGTATCATTGGCAATTATGCTCTCCCATATAGTGGGTTCCCTTTCCATTTCAATGGTTGTTTCTTTTGCTGTGCAGCAGCTTTTTAGTTTGATGTAGTCCCATGTGTTCATATTTTCCGTTGTTTCTGTTGCCTTAGGTGATGTATTAGTGAAAATTCTGCTGTGTATGATGTCTGAAATTTTGTTGCCTGCATTTTCTTCTAGGATTTTTATGGAATCACGAGTCACATTTAAGTCTTTTATCTATTTTGAGTTTATTCTTGTTTATGGTGTAAGTTGGTGGTTTAGCTTCATTTTTTTGCATGTAGCTGTCCAATTTTCCCAGCACCATTTATTAAAGAGGCTGTCTTGACTCCAATGTATGTTCTTGCCACCTTTGTCAAATATTAATAGAGCATATTGTCTTGGGTCAATTTCTGAGTTCTCTCTTCTGTTCTATTGATGTAACTGCCTGTTCTTGTGCCAGTACCAGGCTGTTTTGATTATAGTGGCTTTGTAGTATAAACTGAAATCAGGTAATGTGATCCCTCCTACTTTGTTCTTCTTTTTCAAGATTGCTGCGGCTACATGGGGCCTTTTTTCTTTCCATATAAACTTTTGGCTTCTTTGTTCTAGTCTGTGAAGTATATCGTTGGTATTTTGATGGGGATTGCATTGAATCTATATATAGGTTTGGGTAGTATGGACATTTTAATGATGTTAATTCTTCCAATCCACTAACAAGGTATATGCTTCCACCTTTTTATATCTTCTTCTATTTTTATTTTTTCAATGACCTATAGTTTTCTGTGAAGAGATCCTGTACTTCTTTGGTTAAGTTTATTCCTAGGTATCTTAATTTTTTTTGCTGTAATGGTAAATGGGATTGTTTTTTTTTTTAGTTCTCTTTTTTTGAGTTCATTGTTGGTGTATAAGAATGCTATCAATTTCTTGACGTTCATTTTGTACCCTGCTACTTTGCCAAATTCAATTATTAAGTTTAGTAGATTTTTTATGGAGTCTTTAGGGTTTTCTATGTACAATATCATGTCATCTGCAAATAATGACAATTTCACTTCCTCCTTTCCAGTTTGGATCCCTTTTATTTTTTCTTCCTGTCTAATGGCTGTGGCTATGACTTCCAGTACTATGTTAAATAAGAGTGGCGAAAGTGGACATTCCTGTCTTGTACTCGTTCTTAAGGAAGTGTTTTTAGCTTTTGCCCACTGAGTATAATATTGGCTGTAGGTTTTTTATATGTGGACTTTATTATGTTGAGATATGATCCCTCTATTCCCACATTGCTGAGGGTTTTTATCAGAAATGGGTGCTGTATTTTGTCAAATGCTTTTTCAGCATCTATTGTTATGATCATATGATTTTTATTTTTCATTTTCTTTATGTGGTGTATCACATTTATTGATTTGTGAATATTGTACCAGCCTTGCATCCCAGGGATGAATCCCACTTGGTGGATAATTTTTTGATGTATTGCTGGATTCGATTTGCTAATATTTTGTTAAGGATTTTGGCATCTGTATTCATCAGAGATATTGGCCTATAATTTTCTTTCTTGGTAGTGTCTTTATTCCGTTTTGGAATTGGGATTATGCTGGCCTCATAAAATGAGTTTCGAAGGCTCCCGTCTTCTTTGATTTTCTGGAATAGTTTGCGAAGAATGGATATTAAATATTCTTTGAATGTTCGGTAAAACTCCCCCATGAAGCCATCTGGGCCTGGGCTTTTGTTTGCTGGGAGTTTCTTAATTACATCTTCAATTTCCTTTGTTGTTATTGGTCTGTTCAAGTTTTCTATTTCTTCCCTGTTCTGTTTTGGGAGACTGTGCATTTCTAGAAATGTGTCCATTTTGCCTAGATTGTCCAATTTGTTGGCGTATAATTGTTCATAGTATGTTTTGACGATTCTTTATATTTCTTTGGTGTCAGGTGTTACTGATCTTCTTTGTTTCTGATTTTGTTTATTTGGGTCCTCTCTTTTTGTTTCTTGGTGAGTCTGGCTAAAGGTCCATCGATCTTGTTTATGTTTTCAAAGAACCAGCTATTTGTTTCATTGGTCTTTTGAACTGTTTTTTTTTAGTCTCTATGTTTTTTATTTCTGCTCTGACCTTTACTATTTCTTTCCTTCTACTTGTTCTGGGTTTTTCTTTTTGTCTTCTCTCTAGATCTTTAATTGTAGGGTTAGAGAGTCAATTAGGATTTTTTCTTGTTTTTTGAAGTAGGCCTGTAGTGCTATGAACTTCCCTCTTAGGACTGCTATCGCTGCATCCCATAGATTTTGTGTTGTTGTGTGTTCATTTTCATTGGTTTCCAGGAATGTTTTAATTTTTTCCTTGATCTCATTGGTAACCCATTTGTTGTTTTATAACATGCTATTCAGCCTCCAAGTGTTTAAGTGTTTTTGTTATAATTGAGTTCTAGTTTCATGCCATTGTGGTCTGAGAAGATGCTTGATATGATTTCAATCTTTTTAAATTTGTAGAGACTTATTTTGTGTCCTAACATGTGGTCTATCTTTGAGAATGTCCCATGTGCACTTGAGAAGAATGTATGTTCTGCAGCTTTGGGGTGAAATGTTCTGTAAATATCAATTAAGTCCAACTCATCTAGGTTGTCATTTAAGGACTCGATGTCTTTATTAAGTTTTTGTCTGGAAGATCTATCCAGTGGTGTAAGTGGGGTGTTAAAATCACCCAGTAAGATCATATTGCTATTAATCTCTCCCTTGAAGTCCTCCAGAAGTTTGTTAATATATTTTGGTGCTCCCCTATTCGGTGCATATATGTTTACCACTGTTGTATCCTCTTGTCGGATTGATCCTTTTAATATTATGTAGTGGCCTTCTTTGTCTTTTATTATGGCCCTCATTTTGAAGTCTATCTTGTCGGATATGAGTATTGCTACACCAGCTTTTTTTTCATTTCCGTTTGCTTGGTAAATTTTTTTCCATCCCTTCACTTTCATCCTGTGTGAGTCTTTTATTGTGAGGTGAGTTTCTGGTAGACAGCATATATATGGGTCATGCTTTTGTATGCAGTCAGCTACCCTGTTTTTTGATTGGAGCATTTAAGCCGTTTACATTTAAGGTTATTATTGGTAGATAGTTATAAGTTGCCATTTTTATTTTATGCCTGTGTTCCTCTCTCTCTCTCGCTCTCTCTCTTTTTCTGTTTCTTCTTACAACAGTCCCCTCAGCATTTCTTGCAGTGTTGGTTTTGTGGTGGTAAATTCCTTTAGCTTTTATTTATCCGTGAAGCTCTTTATTTCTCCTTCAATTGTGAATGATAGCCTTGCTGGATAGAGTAGTCTTGAATTTAGACCCTTGCCTTGCATTACTTTGTACACTTCATGTCACTCCCTTCTGGTCTGCATCGTTTCTATTGAGAAATCAGCTGACAGTCTCATGGCAGCTCTCTTGTCGGTAACTTTCTGTCTCTCTCTTGCTTCCTTTAATATTCTTTCTTTGTCTTTAATGTTTGCTATTTTTATTATGATGTGTTTAGCTGTGGGTCTTCTGGGGTTCATCTTGCTTGGGACTCTGTGTTTCCTGGACTTCTGTGACTTTTTCCTTCACCAAATTAGGAAAGTTTTCTGCCATTATTTCTTCAAACAGGTTCTCTATTCCTTTCTCTGATTCTTCTTCCAGTACCCCTATAATGTGAATGTTGTTATGTTTTGTATTATCCCATAGCTCCCTTAAACTTTCCTCCTGCTTTTTAAACTTTTTTTCCATTTGCTGCTCTTTTTGGGTGTTTTTCCCTACCTTGTCTTCCAAGTCGCTGATTCGGTCTTTAACTTCTTCGAATCTACTATTGAACCCTTCTAAGGTATTTTTCATATCAGCTACGTCATTCTTTTGGGGGGAGGGTTATTATGTGTATATTGATTTATTTATTTTAATTAATTAATTAATTTTTGTTACGGATGTTTCTCCTTTTTCCCCCACTGATTCCCCCTTCTCCCACCCTCCCCACCCTGTCCCCAGCTTTGTTGTCCATGTCCATTGTTAATGCACACATCCATATAAGTTCTGTGGTTTATCTCCCCCGCCATCCCTTCTTCTGGGGATTGTCAGTCTATACCCCACTTCCACGTCTCTGGGACTATCCCGTTCCTCAGACTGTTATGTTCATTATATTCCACAAATAAGTGAGATCATATGATACTTGTCTTTCTCTGTTTGGCTTGTTTTACTTAGGATAATACTTTCCAGGCCCCTCCATGTCATCTCATAGGATAAGAGATCTTTCTTTCTTACATCAGCTATGTCATTCTTTATTTCCTCTTGATTTTTATGTATAGCTTCTATCTCTTTATGCATTGCTTCTACCTCTTTTTTTAAGATGAAGTAGTTCCCAGTGAGCTCTTCATAATTCTTATTAAGTTACTTGTAATTTTCACCAAATTGTTTGAGCATTCTTATAATCATTGCTTTGAATTCTTTGTCTGACAAGTCGCTTTCTTCTAGTTCCTATAGTTCCATTTCTGGGGATTCTTTTTTTTTTTTTTTTTCATTTGGGTATTGTTTCTTTGTCTCACCGTTTTAGCAATCTGGTAGTTCTAAGCCTGGTGAGGGATGTTAGAATGTGTAGGCAGCTCAGTGTGTATCAATTAAGGCTGCTGTATCTCCCAGCCTGTTTTGGTGTATGGCTCCTCTTGTCTGCTGTAGGTTCTGCAGGGTTGAAATTGGTCTGTCGTGCTCCCCAAGATTCGCTGCTGCTTGAGCTGGGGCATCGCTCTTGATCGGCTTCTGCTGATGCTGCTGGGAATGGGACTTAGCTGCTGATATGTGCTGCTCTGCTGGGAGGTGGGCGGGTTTATTTGGTGCCCTGCTGGGGTGTGGGGGACCTGCTGGTATGTTGCTGGGATGTGTGGGGTTCCACTAGTACACTGTTGGGGTGTGTGTGTTCCACTGGCATGCTGTTGGGGTTCGTGGGTCCCTCTGGTATTCTGCTGGGGCATGTGGATCCAGCTGGTGCCCTTCTGGGGTTTGTGGGTTTCATTGGTATGCTGCTGGGGTTCGTGGGTTCCACTGATGCACTTCTGGGTTTTGTGGGTCCCTCTGGTACGCTGCTGGGGTATGTGGGTCTTGCTTGTGTACTCTTGGGGGACCCTGCTGCCTGGTGGGGCTCAGCTCCTGATCAGTCACTGCTGGGGGCGAGTTCAGCTCCCAGTTTGCGCTGCTGCTGCTCCTGTTGCCAGGGGTTGTTCTCAGCTCCCAATCCTTTACTGCTGTTGGGGGCTGAAGATGCTCTGCACCTGGGATTTTGCTGCTGCTGGGGGGAGGGGCTACACTACAGCTCCGCTGCTGCAGTGGTCAGGGGCAGGTTTCAGCTGCCCTAGCCCTGCTGTTTGGTCTGGGGCACCGCTCTTGATGAGTCTTTGCTGATGCGCTGCTGTAGGCCTGGAGTCTGGGGCCTGGCCTGGAGTCTGGGGCCTGGCCTGGAGTCTGGGGCCTGGGCTGGCCCACTCTCCGCCGCAGGGCTGGGTCCTGGGCTGGGTGTGTGCTGCCGAGGGCCTGGGTCCTGGGCTCACTGCACGCAGCCACGGCCTGGGACCTGGGCTCTGTGTGCGCCACCATGGGCCTGGGTCTTGGGCTGGCTGTGTGCCGCCACGGGTCTGGAAACTTAGTACAATTTCTATTATTTTCCTGATTGTCTTTTTTCACAATTTTATATAAACTACATTAAATAGATTCACAATTTTTTAATTTCATCCCTTGGATTTAGCATCTTAGTGATTCTTTTTTTTTAAAGCAGTTTTGATGTTTACTTTTTTTTTTTAATCCTCACCCGAGGACATTTTCCAGTATTTTGTTCAGATAGAGTGGGAGGGAGAGAGAGAGAGAAACATCGACGTGAAAGGGACACATCGAGTGGTTGTCACTTGCTCAGCCCATCTAGGGCCAGGGACAAACTGCAACCGAGGTACGTGCCCCCAGCGGGAACCGAACCTGTGTCTCTCTGGACTGCAGGCCGATGCTCTAACCGCTGAGCCAAACCGGCCAGGGCGCATCTTGGTGATTCTTTATCAACTATTGCATTGTTGATTTCAAAATACCAATGACCTTTTTTTTTTAATCCTCACCCAAGGATATGTTTTCATTGATTTTCAGGGCGTAGGGGAGAAGAGAGAAAAATCGAAGTGAGAGAAATGTCTATCTGTTGCCTCTCATATGTGCCCTGATGGGCATTGAACCCACAGCCTAGGTATGTGCCCTGCCTGGGAATCGAACCTGCAACTTTGTGGTGTATGGGACAATGCTCCAATCAACCAAGCCACCCAGCTAGGGCAAAATGGCAATATTCTTAATGTTATTCCTTCTACATTTGTTAGCAGGCATTCTCTAACAGGTAGCTTTTACTTCCACCCTTTATTTTAGTGTTACTGTGGACTTGTGGATGTTTTTGTTTATCTCATTTTTCTGTTACTATAATTATTCTTTCTGATGCCTTTATTGTCCTTTTAGTCTGTCTCGTTTCCTTTTGTCAAGTTCCTTTTGCTCTTTGAGCACTTCCTGTCTTATTGATACAACAGGATATTCCATGCTTGCTTTGTACTATTCCTTCCTTGGTCCTGAAGTCAGCCATTTTTCTAAGGATCATCTTTTTCTGGCTTGGAAATGATCAATCTTCTAAAAGATCTATAAAATACTCACTTCCATTTTGAGCAGTTTTTCCCTAAAATTAGTCTTTTTCTTCTTCTTTATTCTCTAAGTTTTTTGGAAGAGTGTTAGGGAACTCTATGAGTTTGCTTGTTAACTATTCTAGTATTTATCAAATCATTCCTTTCTATGCTATGTCATTTAAAACCACAACTTGACAGTACTTTACTTTTCATGTTTATCGACTTGCCATTTCTAGGTTAATAGATTCTTGTACAAATTGAATTATTTTGCTTTACTTGGTAATGTAGGCTGTGGATGCCAAAAGAGGAAAAGAAGGTAGACTTAAAAACTGGTAGAGTACGTCGAAAAGCCATTTTTGGAGGTGAAGAGGATGAGTCTGGAGATAGTGATATTGAAGATGATGAAGAAATGTTTGAAGGTGACAGGTTGCAGAATAGCTGTAGTGATGAAACAGAAGAGGAAGAAGATGTTGAAATGACTGGTAAAATGTACATGGCTGATAAAGGTGTCAAACGGCAGAGACTTGAGATGGAAGAAGATACCGAGATAGATTTGCCAGCATTTGCTGACAGTGAAGATGACCTTGAGAGGAACTCAGAGGATGAAGAAGTCGAGGAAGCTGATGAAAGCAGTGAAGAAGAGGGTTCCACTGCAGAAAGAGCAAGAGATGTTTTAGAATCTGAGGTTTTAAAAAAAGGCAGTAAACCAGGTCTTTTACAAAGTAATGGTCTGAGTGACAGTTTTAATCTGAAGAAGACAGTGAAAAAAGCAACCCTCACTACCTCAGATTCAGGTCATTGCACAGCTGAAGAGGCATTTGCATCTGAAGATGAATCCGAAGAAAGCTCCTCTTTCAGTACAGAGGAAGAGGATTCAGAAAATGAAGATGTCGTTAGGAAAAAGTTTCCAAAGCCTTCTCAAGTGGTCAGTGGTCAGAAACTGGGGTCAGAGAACTTACTTGATGAGGCCAGTGATATAGAAGACTTACTCAAAGAAGAAGAGGATTATAAGGAAGAAAATAATTATTCCACAGAAACGTCAGGTATGCTTAAATTTAATTTAACTGCCATTATAAACTTGGTACTGAAATGTTCTACAAATAGAATGTGTACATCGGGGAGTCTGCCGTTTTGGATATTTTGTTAACTGTTCAAATATTGGTCCCCATAAAAGGATTTCAGGATGAATCAGCAGTGAGCTTGAAGCAGAGATGACAAACAGACTTAATTGATGTTGGCATTGGTCCTTTCAGGTGTCCTCAAGTGGAAGGAAGACCTTTCCAGAAAGGCAGCTGAGGCGTTTCTGAGACAGCAACAAGCAGCTCCAAATCTACAAAAGCTTGTGTATGGAACAGGTAAAAGGTGTCTGGTTCAGATCTAGAAGCATTATAGTTTCTTAGACTTTTCTGAAAATGCAATGAGGAAATTGATTGGAGATTTGAGTGGTACTTGTGATTTCCATGAAATATTTCTGGCTGTCATAGTTTATATTTGACAGATATTGTTTTTTTGTTTTTAGTATATCTTTACTGCTTTTTTAGAGAGATAGGAAGGGAGAGAGAGATAGAAACATAGATGTGAGAAAGACACATCGATTAGCTGCCTCCTGCACGCTGCCCACTGGGGACTGAACCTGCAACCCAGGCATGTACCCTGACTGGGGAAGGAACTGGGACCTCTCAGTCCATGGGACAATGCTCAGTCCGCCGAGTCACACTGGCTGGGTTGGCATATGTTTTAATCATCAGTTTATGAGAATCATAAATTTGGTCACATGAAATAGATTTATGAGTTTGCCATAAAACTTTTGATGAGAATACTCTTCCTGCCCTGGCCAGTTTGGCTCAGCGGTTAGAGTGTCGGCCTGCGGTCCGGAGAGACCCGGGTTCGGTTCCCGCTAAGGGCATGTACTTCGGTTGCAGTTTGTCCCTGGCCCTGGTTGGTCGTGCGGGTGGCAGCCACTCGATGTGTCCCTTCACATCGATGTTTCTCTCTCTCTCTCCCTTCCTCTCTCTCCCTCCCATTCTATCTGTACAAAAAATGGAAAAATACCCTCGGGTGAGGATTAAAAAAAAAAAAAAGGAGAATACTCTTCCTTGTGTCATTTTGTGCTCTCTATACAAAGTCCTTTATGGTAGAATTTAGTGCCAAGAAAATACAAGATGATGAACTTTATATTGTGGTCCCTAACTACTACATGATTAGAACAAGGCCAAAGGAGTATACATAAGCTATGAGCATTGAATCAAGAGGTTGGTGTGTGTGTATATTGATTTCCATTCAGCTTTTGCTTATGAACTCCAAGTGATTAGGGATTCAACATTCTTTCAGGTAAATTTGTTAAGATAATTGAAAGTTCTGCTTGTAAATGTCCCTTTCCTCCCCCAACCCCCATTATTCTCCCTCCTCAATGGACTCTTTGCTACTGCCCTGCAGGAAGGCAGAAGTCTTCCAGACATGTTAAGCAGTAGTTCCCTGACTTTTCTCTGACTGATGTGTTCAGTGTCACCATCATTTCTACAACAAAGAGGGACCCTCAGTCCCATGTCCTCCAGGATACAGATTTGTTCTCACTTTTCTATTTTGGTGGTCTCTTTAGTGACAGAGAATAATGAAGAAGATGGTGATACCAAGGAGGAGCTTGGAGGGTTGTTTCGTGTCAGCCAGCCTGCCAGAGAGTGCAAGTACAAGGCTGACTCTTTGGACTGCTCCAGATTTCACTTGGAGGTGCCCCACGATTGGGATTCAGAGGAGGTAAGGCTAAGTATAAATAGTATGTTTGATTTAGAGAAATAGAGAATTGTTCTAAAAGAAGATCAGGTGATTTTAATATTGCCTACCTGTTATTTTATAATACAACAGGATACTTTCCCAGATGTCGGAGTGGATATTTCATGCATCCTAAGCAATGAAATATTCTGAGTTCAGAACATATGCCCGTGTTATGGAGAAAAGGAAAATGTTCAAATTTTAGAATGGATGGTGTTTAAAGCATTGCACATAAGTTTTATACATTTAAATATTTTGTTTTGTAATTCAAATAAATCTAGTGTCCTTTAGTTAACAATTATAATTCTGCTGTTTGTAAACAAATACATCTCTGACACTGGTGGTAAACTTTCTTTCCTTGCTCACCACTTGGTAGTCACACTGGAATTCATTCAGTTCTCAAACTTGCCAGGCTTAATCCTATCTTACACCTCTAGTCTCTCTATTTTCTCTTCTGGAATATTCTTCTGATCTTCCCAAGTTGGCTTCTTTCAATGATTCAGTTTAACTTCAAAGATGTCCAGTCATTATCACATTAACAATTTTAATTTACTAAATATTCACTTAGGTACTTTTAGAGATTTTATGTAACCACTTTTTATGGTAAATTTTAATACAGATTTTAGAAGACCACATAGAATAGTTGTTTAACTTAATGGATTACTAGGTGAGGACCCTTGTTATCACCGTGTGTCCATCCTTGTCATAGTCCTCTCCCTCCCTGCAGAAGGAACCACAACTCTGTTGTAATCATTTTTTTCTTCTTCATTTTATCCTCCAAGTTTTCATCATTAAACACCATAATTTACTTCTACCGGGTTTTGGGGGTTTGGTTTTCACTGTGCCTTTCAAATCTTTAAATATACGATCCTTTTCTCTGCCCCCCCCAACACTTATAATTAATTTGTTTAAGAAACCAAGTATTGGTGTGTAGAGTTTCTCATATTCTGGACTTCATGGATTCTATTGCAGCACTTTGTGCAGTTTATCAAGCTCCTCGGTCCTCTGTATTTCCTATAAATTATTATAGAGAAATAGCAGAACTTGTGATGATGGGAACTAAATATGAACTGTCTAAGTGTGGCGTCTTGTGGCTGTTGAGCACTTTAAATGTTTAGTGAGACAGAAGAACTAAATTTTTAAGTTTTATTTAATCTTAATTAATTAGAATTTAAATAACCACGTGGTTGTAGCTACCTTATGGACAACATATCTCGAGGTCTGATTGGATTTAGGTTTGATTTTTATTTTCATCAAGACTGCATCCTAGGTGGTGGTGTTTTTCCATTAGGAGGCACATAAAGTCATCTTGTGATGTTAAAAGCTTTTGATCCTCATTGCCTAGATGCATTAATTTATAAGGATGTAAAATGGTGATATTTTGTTCCAATTTCTCTGTAGTGTTTATTAACTAGAATACTTCTAGAAACTTCTCTTCATCTACTGTTTGTTTGCACAGTTCTATATATAAATGCTTGATTTTTTTTTTTATCAGATTTCAGAATGATTCTCCAAAGGTGACTTTTTTCTTTTAAGTATCATTTTGAGCTTACAGATTTAAATACAGTTGAGTGTTTTCTTCCATTGCACTTGTTACTTTTTTGATGCTCAGGTTTATTCTATCCGTGGCTAGTGGGAGTCTTTACACATTGGTCCCTAGGTTCTTTGGACATGATCCTAATGGTCCTTGATTCCTTTGTTGCTGTCTGATATGCTAAGGTGTTCCAGTATCAGCCAGACTTGGAAGCAGCCATAAAAAGTTCTGATTTCTTTTAGTACAGAATGGTATTTCAGCATCACGATCTAGGCATAGGAATATTCATTACTATAAGTTGGTCATTGTTTCTAGGCCTTTTCAGTGACCAGATTGAGAAGAATTCACACACATATTTCCAATTCAGATTCAGAACTACAGGGTTTTTATTTAACTTCTTTTATCTTACATTTGTAACTGTTTTTCCAATGGAGAAATTATTCCCTGTTTAGTGAAATTATAAAATTGTATAATTAGTTGTTTGCTTTATTTTATGCATTATACATGAAAACAGTATCAGCATGACATTATACATTACTATTAATATGATTACTAAAACAGTTAAATTTTCTCCCTCATATACTTTCCCATTTCTCTTTTCAAAAGTGACTACACCATTTTTTTAAAAATATGTTTTTATGCATTTTTTTTTAAAGAGAGAGGAAGGGAGTGAAAGATAGAAATACCGATGTGAGAGAGAAACATCAATCAGCTGCCTCCTGCATGCCTTCTACTGGAGATCAAGCCCACAACTCAGGCATGTGCCCTGATTGGGAATTGAACTGGGACCTCTTAGTCCACGGGACAACACTCAATCCACTGAGCCACACTATGCAAAAGTGACTAAACCATTTAACATTTTTACCAAAAGTGGTTTCTGATTTCTCACATCCTCACCAATACTTGTTATTGTCTGTTTTGTTGTTGTTGTTGTTGTTATTGCCATCCAAGGCATGTGAGTGGTATCTTATTATGGTTTTGATTTGCCTTTCCCTGATGGCTGATTATGTTAGACACCTTTTTATTTGGTTATTGGCCATATTTGTATATGTTATTTAAAGAAATGTCTGTTTGTATAATTTACTCATTTTAAAAATTGGGTTGTCTTTTTTAAATATATTTTTATTGATTTTTTTTTTTTTAAGAGAGAGAGGAAGAGAGGTAGAAACATCGATGAGAGAACATCAATCAGCTGCCTCCTGCATGCCCTCTACTGGGGGTCAAGCCCGCAACCCTGCCTGGGAATTGATCAGGAGACCTTTGGTGCATGGGAGGATGCTCAGTCCACTGAGCCACACCAGCTGGGCGAGTCGTCTTTTATCGTGGAGTTGTAAGAGTAGATTATATATTCAGGATAGAAGTTCCTTATCAAATATATGATTTAAAAATAATTTTTCCCATTTTGTAGGTTGTATTTTTTATGCCCTTTGAATTCAAGCACAAAGTTTTAAATTTTGATGAAGTGCCAGTCTATATTTTTGATGTTGTGTGTTTGGTATCATAGCCAAGGAACTATTGCCAAATCCAAGATCATGAAGATTTACTCCTGTGTTTTCATCTAAGGGTTTTATAATTTAACTCTTACGTTAAGGTCTTCAATCTATTTTGAGTTTTTATATTTGGTGTGATGTGAATCTAATTTAATTCTTTTTCATATGGAGATCCAGTTGTCCTAGCACTATTTGTTGAAAAGACTGTTCCTTCCCCATTGCCTTGTCTTGGCACCCTGGGCAAAAAAAAAAAAAAAAAATCACTTTACACTTGACCATAAATATATGGGTTTATTTATGGACTCTTAATTATATTCCATTGGTATATATGTCATTCCTTGCCAGCCTAATTCTGTTTTCATTACCATTGTTTTGTAGTAAGTTCTGAAATTGGAAAGTGTGAATCTTTCAACTTTGTTTTCTTTTTCAATATTGTTTAGTCTATTCTAGATCTCTTGGGTTTTCTCTGTTTTAGGACTAGCTTTTCCATTTCTACAAAGAAGCCAGCTGGGATTCTGATAGAGATTATATTGAATCTATAGCTCACTTTGGATAGTATTGCTGTCTTAACAATATTAAGTCTTCTGATCCATTAAGGTGGGGTGCCTTTTTATTTTTTATTTTTTTTAATCCTCACCTGAGGACACTTGTGCATTCATTCATCTTCAGGTAGAGCTAGAGGGAGAGAAGAAGAGAGAGAGAGAAACATTGATGTGAGAGAGACACATTGAGTGGTTGCCACCCACACGACCCCAAGTGGGGCTGGGGACAAACGGCAACCAAGGTACCTGCCCTTAGCGGGAACCGAACCAGATAGATCTCTCTGAACTGCGGGCTGACACTCTAACCGCTAAGCCAAACCAGCCAGGGCGCCTTTCTATTTTTTTGCATCTTAAATGTCTTCCAAGAATGTTTTGCATTTATCAGTTTGCATTTTGTTGAATTTATTCCTAGCATTTTATTTATTTATTATTATTGTTTTTTTAAAGAAATACTATTAAAAAAATTTTTAATCTTTATTGTTGAATGTAAAATGTATTACAGATGTTCCACATTTTTCCCCCATTGACCCCCTCCTCCCCACTCTCGTCCCCCTCCCGTCTTTTCCCACACTATTATCTGTGTCCATTGGTTATGCATATAAGTTCTTTGGTTTATTTCTTCCCAACCCCCACCCCCAACCCCTTTCCCTTTGAGGTTTGTCAGTCTAGCAATGAATTTGTACTTCTTAAACTCTTCACCTTTTTCACCCATTCCCCCAACCTCCCTCCCAACTGGCAACCAAAAAATGTTCTCTGTATCTATAAGAATGTTTCTGTTCTACCTGTTCATTTTGTTTGTAGATTCCATTGTCGATAGATATGTATTCATTGCCATTTTGTTTGTTCATATATTTTATCTTTTTATTCAAAAAGACCCTTCAGCATTTCATATAATAATGGTTTGGTGGTGATGAACTCCTTTAACTTTTTCTTGTTTGGGAAAGTCTTTATATGTCCATCGATTCTAAATGCCAGCTTTGCAGGATAGAGTAATCTTGGTTGTAGGTTCTTGCTTTTCATCGCTGAATATTTCTTGCCACACCCTTCTGGCCTGCAAAGTTTCTTTTGAGAAATCAGCTGACAGCCTTATGGGAACTCCCTTGTAGGTAACTAGCTGCCTTTTTCTTGCTGCTTTTAAGATTCTCTCTTTGTCTTGAACCTTTTGCATTTTGATGATGATGTGTCTTGGTGTGGGCCTCTTGGGGTTTATCTTGTTTGGGACTCTCTGTGCTTCCTGGACTTGTATGTCTGTTTCCTTCACCAAGTTAGGGAAGTTTTCTGCAATTATTGTTTCAAACAGGTTTTCAATTTCTTGTTCTCTCTCTTCTCCTTCTGGCACCCCGAAGATGCGAATGTTGGCACGCTTGAAGTTGTCCCAGAGGCTCCTTACACTATCCTCATTTTTTTGGATTCTTTTTT